GCAGCGCATACGTAGGACAGAACAAAATATCATTCCAATTTAAATTTTTTACCACATACCTTGCTTCTTTTCCACCGCCTGTAGTGAGTGATTGTGTAAACATTGCTGTGCATGAGTAAGTGTTGGGTACCGTAATCTACTCCAGCAGCTCCCCATTCTGCAGGACAGTACTTCAGATCTACAGTGGCAGTAGTAACAGTAGCCTTATAATAATGGATTTGTACCAATGGGTGCAGACCACTTTACACTTTTTAAGAGAAAGTAAGCAACACCACCCAAGGTATATAGTATATTAAATCTCCTGGCCACTATAATGTATAGGTTATACGATGGCGGCGCGTGGTTTACTGGTTTTACACGAGTAGCCAGTTTTGATGGGGCAAGAGGGCGCAGACCGAGTGGTCTATCAAAACTGAAGCCACGAGTGTACAACCAGTAACCACAAGCAAAGCCATCGTATAACGTGTTTGTATGATGACATCTGCGGTAAGGTTGTGCAGAACCCATGGTCATTTTTTTCGAGGAGTTCAACGTTACAGGTACGTCACTTTTTCGCTGCTGGACTCCACACGAGTTTTGTAGCTGCCGCTCTGGCTCGCTTTCTCTCCCGCTATACCCAGCGCTCTCGAATGCAGCCTGTTGCAGTAGCAAGAAAGCTGAAAGTCACATACTGTTCCAGTCTACGGGAGCCTACGCGTCGGGAAGCAGTTTTTAGCTAGTTTTCAGACCGCGTATATACTAGAGCAGTTTCTGGCCTGAAACACTCCCTTCTGGTAAAGAAACAGCAGCACAAAGCCCCCTAATTTCATAACACGCTGCCAGTTTCCTACTATCGTATAACTACCATATACCCATTGTGGTTTATGCAAATGAGTTGACATACAGCTAAAGTATGGGGAAATCGTATGGCCTCTTTATGGTATAACTACCCGTAAACTCAGCAGGAAGCGCTCACTACGCGTGTACGTTGTTTAGACTAGCTGGAATTCCTTTGATCTTACTCTCAGTCATCATACAAAGTAGGCATGGACACTATTTTTGGTATACGTTACCCCAGCAATGGCGCATTATAGGGTTATTGGCCAGTAGTATATAGCACCCACTTAGCTGTACTACACAACAGCAGAAGGCTGAGTCACTCCCTAATCAACACCCACTTTGCTTTCCTTATAGGGAATTCAGGCGAGAACCATATACCAAGTAGGTTTGATGATGGCAAGTATATACTCCCCATCACCAAACCATATACCACATGTGACAAGCAGCCAATGTTATGATACATATGTATCTGAGATATTCGCGAACTGGATACCCTGACCCTGCTATCCTTTCTAAGTAACTACAACTACAATATTAAAAAGGATTATCAAAATTCATTAACACATTTAGCTAGTAGTTCAGCCACGCATCGCAAATGGCTGGTGGTAACATCCTTGCAGATTAAAAGTGAAAACCCTCGGCGAACTGCGCATGCGCGGTACCGCTAATTGATGGGCTGGCCCTATTATAATTATAGTATATATGCGTTTACTCTTGATCTCCCGCTAGTTAGCTAGCGCAGAGTCTGACACGGGCTAGCTACAGTAGTAGATAGCATACGGGAGTCGATACACGCCCTTCGTTGTGGCTTCTTGTGCCTCCGAGGCTTGTTCACTTGGTTTTCACGCTATAACTTCTGAACTCGGCACTTTTACAAAAATCGGCATTTCTAAAATCAAGCCAGTGTAGCGCTGAGCCACTTGGTGTCGCTATTTTACCTGTTTGTTGCGTGTGGTGGCAGAAAACGTGGTAACAGACTGACAGACAGACAGACAGACGGACAAACCAATTACTGTAACCCTCGCTGCGCATGCACGCCGAGGGTTAATGACTTACTAGTGATGGATGTTCAACTTCATAGACTAGATCTCGGCCGATTCTATCTCGCCGCCCTCCTTCCGATCATGATCGCATCGCGGGATTTACGCATGCGCATTGCCTTGCGGCTTCACACAAGCGCATCAATATTACTTTCATATGTGTCTCTAATTATACGAAGCTGGTAATCATCTGAGCTAGCAGCTCTGGAAGCTCCGGAATATGACAAGGGAAGAAGAGAGACTAGCAGTGTTATTTGTGCTCTGAGTGAAAATTCGGCATCTCGTAAGTGTATCTATAACTTCACAGACCTGAGACAGGCGCCTTCAGCCTTCAGACACTACATACACATTGTGCTATCTTTCGTCGGTCAGTACATTAGCAAGTGCACAGTTTGTTGCATACGTTCCTGTAGCAAATACTTGACTTCTCTTATATACCTAGCTAATGCAGGTAACTGGTTTCATTTGTGAGGTACAGTATGTACTTAGAGACGTATAGCGTTCCTACAACTACAGCTTCATGACACACTGAGAGTAACAAGTAGCTGTATAATTATATATATATATATCTATATATATATAACCTTTTGCCAGTTTATTTTCTGACCCAGAAGTCAGATTGATCAATAAGCGAAGCTAGTCACCTGTTATGTTACTATTGTAGCTGGATCTACATACATGTCTTGGTATGTACACAATAAAGTGTGTGCTAATCAGCTGAACTGTCACATCAGTATAGGGAGTAGATAGGTGTGGTTATGAGAACATTAGCAGGTAATAAGATCAGCTCCGAGCTCTCTCTACCATTACCATAACCATCATCATAACCATCTGTGTTACTCACTACTCTTCTCCTTTACAATTGTGAAGTTAATCGCAACTTTAGTTACTCGTTTGCTTCTTTCACTCTTCTTCTCCCTATACGTACATGTACGTAGTGTATGTAGACATATTGAGGACGGTGTATGTTTGCCAGCCAGTGATGGATTCCTGGGCCGCCATGTCTCAACACATAGAAGATCCGGTGGGATTGGAGCTAGATGTTTTGTACACACACAGTTGACTACTGCATAATTTTTACTATGTACACTACGTGGGGCGGCACTAATAGGAACCACGATAGTGCACCACGTTTTTACTGCGTAAGTCATTTTATTCCAGATTCTATTTTTCTACCACGTTTTTACCGCTACAAGTAAGTCATTCTATGTTTTTCTACCATGTGTTTACTGCTACAAGTGAGTCATGCTACAAGGGAGTCATTCTACCTTGTTTTTTTATGTCCAGTAAGTAAGCTAGATTCTATTTTTCTATTTTTCTACAATGCTACCAATTTCTTTTTTCTACCATCTGTGTTTGTGTATATATTTATATATTTATATTTATATGTATCGTACTCTACATGTGTTGTCGTGACTGTACTATCGTACAGTTACTCACTGTGTGGCTGTCATTGTTTGTGATGTGGAGTTTGGATGCTGGGTGTGTGGGGAGAGTTGGCTAGCCATAAAAGACTCTTTAACCCACCGTCCCGGTTCTCAAGGCTGGGCACCCAGTGTCCTACTATCATGTCATGTCATGTGTATTTGTGTGGATATTTTGGGGTTTGTAAATATGGTGGTGGTGGTTTTTATTTATTTCTCTATCTATCTATCTATCTATCTATATACCTATGGCTGGTATGCTATGAACTATAATTTCATGTACATACCTACATAATATGTGCATAGTTTATTGAACTGTTTAAACTTTCATCTTTGTTGAACCCTTACACCTGTATTACGATGATGAGACACACACATCTATGATGCAAGGTGCCGTGCTATCTCTATTATAGTACCGTAGTCAGCAAGACTGGAGTTCTGTAGTCAGCAGGTCTATCCTTTGACTGCATGGTACAGTGTACACACATACTTTAAATCACGGCGCAGGCACTGGTGTTTATTCTACATGAAAGTTTTGATGCACACATGTAATAAGAATTTTCATTAGAAGTAGTATGCACTGAAACAGAGACACAAGTATGCGTGTACTCGTGTCAGGTGTGTACTAGGGACGGAGGGTGTGTCGCCACGTCTATTGAAGTTTTTGGCAAGTGACTCTGGTTAGGGTCCTCACACCACTAGTATATGGGGACACCGTTTGCACACACACCGTGCAAATATGATAGTGTTGGGGTAGAGATATTGAGGCAGTATAGGCTGGCATCTTACTGTTGTAAATACATTGGAACCTCTCTCAGAGAACACCCCTGAAATGAGGACACCTTTTCTTCCCCCTACAGGTTTGTGCATGCAAGAATCTCACTTCCTTCTGCCCCATTGGTGGCATGGCGTTGGAGCATAACACTGCGTTATAGGCCAAACATGTTTCATAATAATTATGACGGTAATGTACATATTGAGTAGGACAGTGTTTACTCATACAGTAAGGAATGTTTGTGGTTTCAAATCTCCTGTTTGGCCATTCATCATTTCCTGACAGCTTCTGTCCTGTGATATTTGGCCACTTCTCTAGACCCACCAGCTGCTATGGCCATTGTGACCCGCCACTAATTAACATTCCTATCTCCACAACTTAACTCTGCATGTACTTAGCCTACCTAGTCGTTTTTATGTGTGTGTGATTCTCGTGGAGGTGTCAAACTTGTATTCACACCTGCGGAAATCATGTGGAGTTGTTGAAAATGTTCGTTCACCAAAAGAAATGAATTAACTACTTTAGCCTCCATTAATGAAGGGGGTATACCAAATCGTGTGCAAGTTAAATACATGCATGGCTGTGTACTATATACGAATTATGCATGAAATGTACACATTATGTACCTGTCTTGTATTGTTGTACATATGTTGTACAGCTGTTGTACACATCTTGCATGTATTGTATTGCAAAGTGTATGTGTCTATATATGTGTATATATACTGTACCACTGCATGTGCAGGTATGGGTACAATCATGTAGGACCTGTTGTTAGCGTCATGTAGTTATGTTGTAGATGGTGTTCTGATTGTGTGGGCATGTTTACTTGCGGTGAGCTCTCACATTTACCATGTGAAGATATTATACTGTTGTATGTAGGTTTTTACTCATGTATAATTATAGCTATGGTATGCACGCCTCAGAAAATCATAGTTATCATGTAACTTGTACGCTCCAAAGAGCTCTGTTGCTAGGGTAACATGTGTGCCAATATTGGTTTACGGATCCACCTTCTCTTCTTACAGATGTTACGTTTGCTGATGGAGGAATTCCTACCCCCCTACCCTCCGCACAATTTATTCTAGAGTTTTGGGTGCAAACAGTTTCACTGTTGTTTTGAGAGGGGTGTGGTTGTTGTCTGGTTGCTATGGAGGACCGCCCGACGACAATAAGGGTGTATCCGGGGGAGCTTAGGCCAGTTTACTACACTTCAGTGCTGGCCTCCAAAACTACCACCACCCTTGTCTCTCTCCTCCTTATCCAGGTGATACGATTAGCTCTGGAGCGACTGCAGATTTTCGAAGACAAGACGCTCTATGAGCTACACGAGGGTTGCCCCGGCGACGAGGAAAACTGGACCCTCCTCAAAGAGGGGGAAACCAAAATTACCACGCATGCGCAGTTGCAACCTCAAACTATAATTATACAAATTAACCCTCGGCGCGCATGCGCAGCGAGGGTTACGGTAGTTGTCCCGTAAGTGTGTCTGTCTGTCTGTCTGTCGGTTAACACGTTTTCTGCCACCGCGCGCATGAAATCAGGTAAATAGCGATATGATCGGGTTCAGTGCTACACTGGGTTGATTCTAAAAAAGGCGATTTTCGTAAAACTACTGCGTTCTAAAGTTATGGCGTGAAAACCAAGTGAACAAGCCAATATGTAAATTAGCACAGGCTTACCTCGACCTTGAAGGCACAACAAGTCACAACGAAGGGCAGGTATCGACTCCCGCATGCTATTAACTACTGTAGCTAGCCCGTGCCAGACTCTCCGCGAGCTACTAGCGGGATACCACGAGAGTAAAGGCATAAAAAGCCCAGCCCATCAATTAGTGGTACAGCACATGCGCAGTTCGCCGAGGGTTTGCACTTTAGTGCTTTTCATTATACTAGTGGAAATGTTGAACATTGTTGGCGAGCGAGAGCGACCCAACTTGGGATTTGCCCGCGATGTTAACGGGCCATCAGCGCACAGCTTTCCTTTCGTGAAGCAAGACAGATCTACCTGTCGCCGTTACATCCGTATTGTACATTTGCAGAACGGTGAGCAGGTGAGCAAAACGGTACTTACCTTACGCTTTCAGCTCGTCAGTCGTGGTCCACCAGGCAGCTGGCATGCAGCAGTATGTGCACGAGAAATCCTAGCGTATTTGCAAGCTGCACCTTGGAATAACAGCCTCGGTCAGTCACCGAAGGCAGCGCATGCCGTCGAATGGAGGAGAGTTCTCTGGCCGGCTAGACCGATCGGCGCATATCGCGTGTGTGAAAATGTGGGTCGCTAGAAACTGCGTGGATTTTGCAAGAATGAGTAGAAAGTAAAAGTATGCCCAAGGCGCTGTTCAGCTATGAGCCACTTCTAATCCACATCTTGGAGTAGGATTAGCAGGGGCGTAGCTAGCATTGAGGCAGAGGAGGCAGTTGCCTCCTCTGTTTAAATTGCCAACTTATGAATAACTTATTACAACTTTTCGCAGCGTCACCAACGACGAGCGCCAGCAGCGAGAGCATGCATGGTTAGCACTGGGTTACATCAACAAAGAGTGGGCATCTCCTGCAGAGAGTCAAGCCTGGGATCGCTCCGGGCATCACCGTATTGCTCTGGCCTTCCGCGAGTAAACACTGACATTGCACAACACCATTGCGCATGCGCGCAATTAATCATGAATAATAAATAATGCGTATATACTGGCCATTTGCCTCCCCTAAGATTCAAACCTGGCTACGCCCCTGATTAGTTAATCCGGATCGTGATCCTGACTGTGATATACCGTTTACGCGTAGCTAGCTAATCCGGATTGTTCACTATCATTGTGTAATTTGCATTCCCCTCTAATAAAGAAAAGATTATATACGATCTGGATTAGGGTGTGTATATACGTGTAAATGTGGCGTGTAAACGGCAGTCGACCTTTTCGACGGCATAACTCTGCAACAAAAGCGCGTCAATACTCCAAACTTGGTACAAAGGATAATCATTTGCAAAACTACTTCCTAGTAGAATAACATTTTATTGTACGCTCTGGAGGCCTGTCCGATCATAGCTACATGGTGCCTTTGATGAGCTACTCTATGTGGAAGTGTTCAAAGTGGGGATCTCTGGTGCGAAAGGTCCCTGAACCGGGTGAAGGTCCTAAAGATGTTGGGTGCACCACTGGTTGATGCATTCGAAGCAGTCCTGCTGCTGCTCGGCGTTGGCGCCGCAGGTCACGTGGAGCCAGACCTTGAACAGCTCCTTGTTCTTGTAGAAGACCAGGAACTGGCCTAGAACCAGGTACGCCTTGTCGTACCCCTTGTTGCTCAGGTTCGCCCTGAGGACGGGCCCGATCCCCGCCAGCTCCGTAACGTCCTTGTTACCCATGGGTTTCCCAACGAAGTTGTCGTGCTTTTGAGAAGTCGACATCTGCGAAGAGAGAAGACAAAGAGTCTACAATTGCTACCCAGTTAGTTTACGGTTCTGCAAAACCAGCTAGTACGGTGCAGTCGCATTCTGTACTGTCAGCGTCAACAAGGTTTGCACCGAGCTTTTCCTCTCTTTTCTTGAAAGGATCTCTTTCAGTGTTGAAACTTCTTGTGACTTTTGGGGGGGCGTTAACCAATGAATTGCAAGAATTTCGCCAAAGAATGCAGGTATAATGCACAGGGTCCACTATAATTCTTTGCCTGACACGTATTCAGTGTTGAAAAGTTATCAAGTTCAGTAGTATTTGGAACAAAACATAGGTTCAATGCTTCATGTATGGGAAGGCATGGCCGCATCCACAAACTGCTCGTCTAACGTGAACTGCTGTGCTACATTGCGGACATACCTTGCTCAGTTTGTTGTCCATCGAGAACAGAGATCAACACTGACAGAGGAGAGAAACTCAAGAACCGCTTGCTCGTCCAAGGTCAACTAAAATAACCCCGTGGCATCTCGCAGATGCGCATTCTCCGGCAAACGATAGCTACGGCAACATACGCGCGTGCGCGATGGATCGCTCGCGTCTGATGCTCCGGCATACGCCCACATACGCGCGTGCGCGATGGATCGCTCGCGTACGCTTTTTCGCTTGTTTTCACGCCATATCTCTGGAACGCAGTCGTTTCAGGAAAATCGCCACATTAATATCCATCTTCTCGTTGTTCACAACCCGTTGGTGCCACTCATTGGCCGCCTTGTAGCCTGTAGTGCGAGAACTCGCGCGGACAGAGACAGACAGACAGACAGACAGACAGACAGACAGACAGACAGACAGACAGAAGACTACCGTAACCCTCGCTGCGCATGAAATTATGAAGTTATGGAGTTCAGAACCTTTAAAATTTTGAAGGAGTTACGAAGTTTGGAAGCTAGCTATATCTCTTGAAGTTATGATGTTTGGAAGCTTTAACATTTTGAAGTTTGGAAGTCAGAATTGTGAGCTTAAGGTGCTTGTATTCGACCCTACACTCCTGCCTAATTCTGTCAGCAACTGTAAAAAGCCTGTTTCAGCTAATTATTTAGGGCTAGGGCTATCTTGCAGGGCTTTTGCACAGGTTTTGTGTAGTGCTCCCATAGATGCGCTAATTGTCCTTGAGCCAAGCCAGGGAAGCGGAAATACTTCACACAGGGCCTCTTTGCTGCTTCTCCACGAACTGCTTTAGTAGTGCGCTTTCTCAATTGACGTGCAACTTCCACATACATGCCGGACGTAACTCCAAAATGGGGACACACGAACAGACAGCGGTAACATTTATTAGGCCATACCTTGATCTATACTAAGAGCAGGTTCTTCGCTGTTATCTCAACTGTGAGAGGAGGCCATGACCTGTAATCGCGCCGACTGCTCCCGGTACAGTCTCTACTCACCGCTCGTTGCGGAGGCTCGTGCAGTCAACTGGATGTGGAAACTGCGCATGCGCGGCTAACTCGCGAGCAGATGAGTCCTATATACCCCCTGGACGAGGAATCACAAAGGTGAGAAGTGTGAGCAAATTCAGTAGTGGCACAATTTGGAAGTGATACAATTTGGAAGTGGTACAATTTGTAAGTGAGAAGTAGCACGATTTGGAAGTGTGCACGGCCCCAATGGGCTTCCGTAGTAATCCGCGCCGACTGCTCCCGGTAAACAATCACTCTTCCAGTCTCCACTCACCGCTCGCTGCGTGCAGTCGACTTGCGGAAACTGGGCATGCGCGGCTGACTCGCGAGCGGATGAGGCCTACCCCCTGGATGAGGAATCACAAAGGTGAGAAGTGTGAGCATATTCAGTAGTGGCACAATTTGGAAGTGATACAATTTGGAAGTAGTACAATTTGGAAGTGATACAATTTGGAAGTAGTACAATTTGGAAGTGGTACAATTTGGAAGTGAGAAGTAGCACGATTTGGAAGTGCTCACAGCCCCAATGGGCTTCCGTAGTTTAGACCTGATAGTGGATACGGAGTGATCTAAATTAAGAAGGGGGAGTGAGTTCCAGAGGCGGGGAAGACGGTTAAAGTAAAAGTGACGAATGGAGTTATTAGAAATAGGAATAGTTTGTCTCAACTTGAAGTGCAAGGCTGATCGACTTTGGCCAGAGCAGAATGTACTTTGAGTTACATGTAACGATACTAAATTGCAGGAACCTCATTGTAAAAGTTGATACCAAGGACAGCATTCAGGAAGTAAAAGCTAAGATTCAAGTTAAATTAGGAATTCCACCACATGCACAGCAACTTGTGTGTGGTGGAAAATTACTAGAAAATGAAAAGATATTGGGTGACTATGACTGAGCCGATATCACTAAAATGCGGGATTGTTAAGTTTGCAACATTTTGTGGGGAGCACAATGATCTTATTTTTGGACTAAGTGAAAGTATAGAAGAAGTTAAAAAGAGAATTGAAAAGTTAGAATGTCTTCCAAGGCATAGGCAAATATTCCTTTTCGCTGGAAATGAATTAGATGATCAAAATAAAGTAAAGATTTCTGAAGTATCAAGTAAGCAATGCACAATAATTGATTGTGCTTTAAAAGGAAGTATACATATATTTGTAGAGATGGACATTCCTACCCATCATTCAAGAATGTGCTTGCAGGTTATTCCAGAGATGAAGATCTTACATATAAAGCGATCGATTGAACAGCAAAGTCATGTACCTGTGTATTTACAGACACTGCTGAGTGGAGAGATAAAACTAGAAAACTCAAAGTGTTTGATGGACTATAATGTCAATGAGCAAAGCACACTGCAATTGGTTATCGAACAACAGAGTTATGTCACAAAACTCTCTCTTATCGTGAGAAGCACGTGGGGCACTAAAGAAGAAGTAGAACTCAGTTTGGAAAATATTGACATGCCCTCTGTTATTTCAAGTTTGCAGAAAGAAGTACCCTTTGCGTGTCCCCCAAACAGAGTATTTTTTGGTTCAGTTGAACTCAAGAACAACAGCAAGCACATGATTACCCACAAGAGCACACTCTTTGTGACATCACCTGAATGTATTCCAATTGTTGTTAGAATGCCTCTCCGCCTCGAACCTCAGCTAATTGGTGTTAAACCTGGAGATACCATTGCAAGCATGAAATCGAAAGTAACTAGAGTGACCCCTGGCAATCAGATGTTTATGGGAAGTGTGCATCTTTTAGAGAGCCAGACACTGAATCATTATGGAATAGCAGCAGCCAGCGAGGTTCTTCTGACTGACCCCGGAACAGTACCACTCTTCATCAGAACAAGGTTCAGAGAAGAATATATCTGCTGCAAGCCAACCTGCGGTGTTAATGAATTAAAGACTATAATCTCAAAAGCTTTTGGTATATCGAAGCAATACCAACGACTTATTTATAATCAATGTCTGATGTTGAATGAAACAAAACAACTCCGAAGCTATGGCATTAACCCAGGTGCCACTGTTCATCTTCTGGTCACTCCTAGTGAGTTGGATGTCCATGTGACTCTTCTATCAAAGAAGGTAACGACTCTCATTTGCACACCAGATGAAAAAATTAAAGATATCAAGTTGAAGGTTGAGCAAAAGGAGGGCATACCCGTGGAGCATCAAGCTCTGCTCTTTGAGGACGACGAGATGACTCTCAGAGAGGCCAACATCACACCTGGACTACACATTCAAGTATTCTATGGTAATGATTTTCAGTATTAACATTACACTGCATGCTGATCACCTTTATTTCCCCCCATAGATTTTGCTTCATTTGCTCAAGTTGACCACATTCACTCTATGGAAACCTACCTGCAACAAGAATGCTCTCTTGTTCTTCACTCAACTGCACTCTATTGTAGTACTCAGAAGATTTGTGTTTTAAAGAAACAAGTTAACGAAGCAAAACTTGAAAGAAAAGGAAAAGAAATAGAAGAAGAAGGGTTCAAAGAAAAACTTCTGATTGAAACTTCTGTTTTGCAGGGAAAATTTGATAAAATGGAATGGGAATATGAAATGGAGAGGAATGACCATGCAGCAAAACTGGAACATCTAAAGAGTCTTGAAGAACAGCTTCAGTGCTCCAAGACATACGCTACTGAAATGAAGCAACAAAAGCTGCAGTTATATAATGATACCTGTGAAGAGGTAGCAGCTTATAGGCGTGAGTTTCTTAGACTCGAGACAAAAAAATGTAAACTTGAAAAGCAACTGTCTATGTTGTGGAGAAAAGTAGCTGAATTAAAGGAGCAACTTTCTGCCGCTCATGCTCAGTCTGTGTCTTTTCAACATACACTTAAAGCCACCCAAGCTGAAACAGCTGCTGTACAGGAAAGACTTTCTCTTTCTCAGGCTGAATCAGAATGTTTAAAGGAAAGACTCGCTGCTTCTGAGTCTGAGAAGGAACACCTACAACTAGCCAGTCAGAGGGAGAAACAAAACCTTGAGGATGAGGTTCAGAGTTTGAGGGAAATAATAACTGAAAGAAATCAACAGAAGCGAGAGCTGCAGAGGCTACTTTCAGTCTCTCAGGTAGAGGAAACAACAGTCCAGGAACAAAACCATATGCTTAGGGACAGACTTAGTGAAGCCGAGGAACAAAAGAGAACCCTTCAAGAAAGACTTGCTGCCTATCAGACTGAAACGGCTGACTTAAGGCAAAGGCTAGCTCAGCAACAAATGAAGCCAGAGAGATATCTCGAAACAGTAGACATCACTCCTTGGAACGTCCCACGCAGTGACGTACACATGTCTCCACAGGAGATAGGGAGAGGAGGGTGGGGGGTGGTGTTGCGGGGGACATACGAGGGAGAGACGGTGGCCGTCAAGCAGCCTCACCGAGACCTCCTCAACCAGCGACTCCTGGAGCGACTCAAGAGAGAGACTCGACTCATGATCCAGATCTCTCACCCCAACCTTGTCAGGATCATCGCTGTGGTGTTTGACGAGGCGGCCGAGCATCTGAGACGCCCACCACTGATTCTGACGGAGCTCCTGGACATGAACCTCCGGCAGTGCTACCAGGAGAGGAGACTACAGCGACGAACACAGAGTCCCCGTGTTACTGGACATAGCCAGAGGACTTCACTACATTCACAATCTCATGGAGCCCATCATCCACAGAGACGTGCTGCCTATCAGACTGAAACGGCTGACTTAAGGCAAAGGCTAGCTCAGCAACAAATGAAGCCAGAGAGATATCTCGAAACAGTAGACATCACTCCTTGGAACGTCCCACGCAGTGACGTACACATGTCTCCAGAGGAGATAGGGAGAGGAGGGTGGGGGGTGGTGTTGCGGGGGACATACGAGGGAGAGACGGTGGCCGTCAAGCAGCCTCACCGAGACCTCCTCAACCAGCGACTCCTGGAGCGACTCAAGAGAGAGACTCGACTCATGATCCAGATCTCTCACCCCAACCTTGTCAGGATCATCGCTGTGGTGTTTGACGAGGTGGCCGAGCATCTGAGACGCCCACCACTGATTCTGACGGAGCTCCTGGACATGAACCTCCGGCAGTGCTACCAGGAGAGGAGACTACAGCCGAACAACAGAGTCCCCGTGTTACTGGACATAGCCAGAGGACTTCACTACATTCACAATCTCATGGAGCCCATCATCCACAGAGACGTGCTGCCTATCAGACTGAAACGGCTGACTTAAGGCAAAGGCTAGCTCAGCAACAAATGAAGCCAGAGAGATATCTCGAAACAGTAGACATCACTCCTTGGAACGTCCCACGCAGTGACGTACACATGTCTCCAGAGGAGATAGGGAGAGGAGGGTGGGGGGTGGTGTTGCGGGGGACATACGAGGGAGAGACGGTGGCCGTCAAGCAGCCTCACCGAGACCTCCTCAACCAGCGACTCCTGGAGCGACTCAAGAGAGAGACTCGACTCATGATCCAGATCTCTCACCCCAACCTTGTCAGGATCATCGCTGTGGTGTTTGACGAGGTGGCCGAGCATCTGAGACGCCCACCACTGATTCTGACGGAGCTCCTGGACATGAACCTCCGGCAGTGCTACCAGGAGCGAGAGACTACACAGCCGAACAACAGAGTCCCCGTGTTACTGGACATAGCCAGAGGACTTCACTACATTCACAATCTCATGGAGCCCATCATCCACAGAGACGTGAGTGCCCCAAACGTCCTCCTGAAGGCACTCCCCAACGGTAGGTGGAGGGCAAAGGTGTCAGATTTCGGATCTGCAAACCTGGCCCGTCTCTCCGTGACGGCCGGGGAAGGAGCCATCATCTACACGGCCCCTGAAGCCTTCCCTCCGCGACCCCCCGACTCACCGAGACCGCGACACACAACAAAGATCGACGTGTACAGTTTTGGGATCCTCGTGTGCGAGGTGGTGACGGCAGAGCAGCCGGACCCAGAGCTATACCAAGTGAGGCTGGGGCAGGTAGGGAGACTGTCTCGTCCTCTACACAGCCTCGTCGTGAGGTGCACCGACCACAACCCTGACAAGAGGCCCATAATGGCCACTGTCATCCAGGAATTGAGTAATATCTCTGTACCTGAAGTCAATGCATGATTTTGACATAGCAAAATAGAATAGAGTAGGAGCATGACTTTAACACAACAATAGCTCGTTTTTGATTATTTTGGTAACTGCTGTAGTCTTTCTTTATAGTGTTATAATTATTTTATCTTTGTTATGACCATTTATGCCAAAATTAGGAATTTATAAAGTAATATATCAGTTACAGTGTCGGTAGAAGTTGGTGGATGGCACAGGTCAAATCTCACATGATCCACGTACATAAACCTCAAAACTATATAGGTGAGAATGACTTGCTAGGCCTTCAAAACACACTAGCAATTGCCATATCTAGCTATACATGTGCTCAACAATCCCATACATGCTTTCAGTTCTCCACGCGAGAATTTTCTAGTCCGTGATTTCATGATAACTGTTCAATATCAAGCCAGGGTATATATTATATAACATGCAATGAACCACTCTTTGAGTGACTTCTTCATGTTGTGGCAGAAAACGTGGTAATGACAGACAGACAGAGAGACACATGAACCAATTACCGTAACCCTTGCTGCAAATGCGTGCAGAGGGTTTAAATGCCTGTGAAAACTACAAGGTATATAGAAAGGCAAAAGTACAACAAACAAGTCAAGGACAGCTGATGCTCTATCTCGCAATTGTGTCCCTTGTAGAGAGGTCGTCCCTATCTTGGAGGTTCCACTGTGAGTTGCCCTAGTAGCTCAGTTTGTAGAGCGCTCGCCTAGACTGTAGTGTCCTGGGTTCGAATCCCACCTAGGGCAGCTCATAGAGACGACCTCCCTACTGTGAATAAAATCATTGGTCCCATTGTGTCTCTTGTTCAGAGATTCCACTTTACTTGATGTTACTGATAGAAAGCCATAAAAGTCTTACACGAACACACTTTGGCAATACATTCAACAAACACACTACAAATAAAAACTAAAAGCACAACAAGCTAATTTTGTTGGGTTGCAGTCATGCTCCTACTCTATTCTATTTATTATGTCAAACTCATGCCTGGACTTCCGGTAAGGAGATATCACTCAATTCCTGGATGACGGTGGCCATTATGGGCCTCTTGTCAGGGTTGTGGTCGGTACACCTCACGATGAGGCTGTGCAAAGGACGAGACAGTCTCCCTACCTGCCCCAGCCTCTCTTGGTATAGCTCTGGGTCCGGCTGCTCTGCCATCACCACCTCGCACATGGACGGAAAGAAGATGACAATCACGGACACACAGGCTACAGCCCATTACGGCCTCCTGTAGCTCTCCTACACTTTTAACCACCCTCTCCCCGGCTACCCCTTCGATTTTGATTTGTCGATTGACTACATAATGTCTGTGTCAGGATTCACCATGCAGTTCCGCATCACTAATAACATGGAGTCCACCCCAATGCCGTTCTACATGGGCTGGCACCCGTACTTTCACTGCGTGCCAAACAAGGCCTACGTGGTATTGGATCCCTGCACGTCATGGAACCACGTGGAACTCGATGCTAACATGGACCCCACTGGTGAGACTACGAGGTATCATGGCCTCAACGGATCAGACCCAATCGGTGGTACACTCTTAAACCCAACATTCTACGACGACGAATTCAAGCCGATAACCCCCAGGAAACCAAGATGCGACTATATACAGACGAGGCTCTATGATGAACCCACGCAGCAGACAGTTGTTCTGTGGCAAGACAGCAGTTTCCGCTTTGTTTACGTGTTCACCGGCCGCCAGGGAGCCATTGCCGTGGAGCCAATGTCGGGGATGGCAGATGCCTACAACAACCACGACCATCTCTCTGTACTGAGTGGAGGAGAGACCTGGAGTGGCAGTGTCGGTGTCTACGTGGAGTGACCACAAAAGATTGAACCCACAGCCAGTAAATGTCAATATAACAGCCACCATTAGAGGCATAATTTTACTGCAGAGTAGAGACTCTTTGGTTAGTGCATTAGCTAAACCTCTTGATAGTGTGAGTAAATGAGGAGTAATTAAGTATCATTACCACAAAATCATGTGATAATACTTACAAAGCCCTCGCTCAGACCTATTTACATCCAAGTATGTATGGCTGTGCTATATAAGTTATAGTGAGGAAGGACCTCATTTGGCAAGCTCACCAGGCTGTGTATATAACATTTTTACAGCTTTTAGCCATCCATACAACAACGCTGTTCACTTTGCTAACAGAAAAAGGTACTCAGTGTGTCTGTTCATTCTTGTCCTGCACAACTCACACACGAGGCTACATCCAGGAAGACAGGGACCCTGCTGTGTGGCTGAAACTGATAATATATAGAGGTTTAGGTCCGGAAGCTCGTATCTTTTGTTCAGAGGCTCGACTGGGGACACTTGTTTCATCTCCATGCTAATACTCCGAGATAGGGGCGACTTCTCTACAAGGGACAAAATCATTGGTCCCATGGTGTCCCTTGTTCGGAGATTCCACTGTACTTGATGTTACTCATAAAAAGCCATAAAAGAGTTCCATTACTGGCATTACATGATTCAAAACACTACAAAGAAAGCAAATTCTACAAAACAAGCTAGTTACAGTCATGCTCCTGCTCTATTCTATATGTTATGTCGAACTCATGCTCCTGCGTTAGGGTAAGGAGATATTACTCAATTCCTGGATGACAGTGGCCATTGTGGGTCTCTTGTCAGGGTTGTGGTCGGTGCACCTCACGACGAGGCTGTGCAGAGGACGAGATAGTCTCCCTACCTGCCCCAGCCTCACTTGGTATAGCTCTGGGTCCGGCTGCTCTGCCGTCACCACCTCGCACACGAGGATCCCAAAACTGTACACGTCGATCTTTGTTGTGTGTCGCGGTCTCGGTGAGTCGGGGGATCGCAGAGGGAAGGCCTCGGGGGCCGTGTAGATGATGGCTCCTTCCCCGGCCGTCACGGAGAAACGGGCCAGGTTGGCAGATCCGAAATCCGACACCTTTGCCCTCCACCTACCGTTGGGGAGTGCCTTCAGGAGGACGTTTGGGGCACTCACGTCTCTGTGGATGATGGGCTCTGTGCGGTCGTGCATGTAGTGAAGTCCTCTGGCTACGTCCAGGAACACGGGGACTCTGTTGCGCGGCTGTAGTCTCATCTCCTGGTAGCACTGGCGGAGGTTCATGTCCAGGAGCTCCGTCACAATCAGTGGCGGGCGTCTCAGACGCTCGGCCTCCTCGTCAAACACCACGGCGATGATCCTGACAAGGTTGGGGTGAGAGATCTGGATCATGAGTCGCGTCTCTCTCTTGAGTCGCTCCAGGAGCCGCTGGTTGAGGAGGTCTCGGTGAGGCTGCTTGACGGCCACCGTCTCTCCCTCGTATGTCCCCCGCAACACCACCCCCCCACCCTCCCCTCCCTATCTCCTCTGGCGACGTATGTACGTCACTGCGTGGGACGTTCCAAGGAGTGATGTCTACTGCTTCAGGGTCCCTCTGCGAATGCCTCTGTAACTCACCTAAAGCAGCAACCAGTCTTTCCTCTAGTTCAGCTGATTCATACTGAGAAGCAGCTAGTCTTTCCTGCACTTTTGCATATTCAGATTGAGAGGCAGCTAGTCTTTCCTGTAGTTTTGCAGATTCAGATTGAGAGGCAGCTAGCTGTCCCTCAGAGGCTGCCAGTGTGTCCTGGAGGATTTGGTTTTGTCTCTGAAGTCTACCCGACTCAACCTGCGAGGCTGTCAGTCGTTCGTGTAGGTTTTCATTTTGTCTTTCTTGTTCAGTCGAATGTGTCCTTAAATTATGAATCTCAGCATTAAAGCTTTTCTTCTCATTTTCCTGTTCTCTTTTAAATTCATCAACTTCCCGCTGCAAAGCCGAAACTTTGATGAGATGAGCTTCCTCTTCTGCCATCTTTTCTGCTTTGCACTTTGAATGTGCTCGCATTGCTCTCTCTGTCTTGTTTAAATCTTTCTGCGTATCAAAGATTTTTTGTGCATCAAAACGGCGTCTGTGGGATTGAACAACCTGACGGCATTCTTTCTGAAGGTACAAGTCCATGGTTCTGATGTGATCAACTTGAGCATATGAAGAAAAATCTGCAATTCCATATTATACATGTTGTATGTATGGTGCGAGTGTACTAACTGAATTATTGACTGTGGTTTTCGGTCGAAAAAATGATAATGTGTGAGGTAGCGAGTAAAGTAACTACTCGTGAGACTGCAAACTGCATTCACGATCCATTATTAGTGCTTTGACTAGTTTGCAGGCATGTTTATTGTGGTCCCTTTGGTATGACACTGTGCTAAAGTAACTTGATAGTAATGCCTTTACCATAGAAGACTTGAAAGTGTAGTCCAGGTGTGATGTTGGCCTCTCTGAGAGTCATCTTGTCGTCCTCAAAGAGTAGAGCTTGATGCTCCACAGGTATGCCCTCCTTTTGCTCAACCTTCAACTTGATATCTTCAATTTTGTCGTCTTGTGAGCAAATGAGAGTCGTTACCTTCTTTGATGGCAGGGTGACATGGATATCCATTTCATTAGGGGTGATTACAAGAAAAACAGTGGAACCGGGATGAATACTGTAGTAACTTAGCTTTTCATTTCATTGAACATCACATTTTGGTTGTAGACAAGTCGCTGGCATGCAACAGGTACACCTAAGACCTTCGAAATGGTCAGTTTCAAATCCCGAGTAGTGCAGGTTGGCCTACAGCAGATATATTCTTCTCTAAACCTTGTTCTGATGAAGAGTGGCACTGTTCCAGGGTCAGTCAGAAGAACCTCGCTGGCTGCTGCTATTCTATAATGATCCAGTGTCTGGCTCTCCGATAGTTGGACACCTCCCAAAAATAGTTGGTTACCAGGAGTCACTCCAGCTAGCTTTGACTTTATGCTCCCAACCTTGCTCTCTGGGTGAACACCAATAAATTCTGTTTCGTGACTTTGGGGCCTTCTGACTAGAACTGGGATTTCTTCAGGTGATGTGACAAACAGAGTGCTCTTGTGTGTGAAAAGGCATGCACTGCCTTCCTCTAACTGTACTGAACCATAGTAGAGCTTATTTGGAGTAAATGATGCTCTGCTCTTCAATTGTTTTATAAGTGAAGGTTCGTCACTTCCCAGATCTACTATCTCACATGTACCCAAAGTACTTTTCAGTGTAACAGTAAAATTTCTGACTTCACTCGGAGGCTCAATGATCAGTGTAAGCGTACTTTGTTCCTTGATGTTAAAGTCATTCAAAGTCTTTGAATTCTCCAGTTTCACTTCTCCACTTAGCAACGACTGCATGTTGGTTGGGATTTGTTTCTGCTGCTCGATCATTCTCTTTACGTGGAACACCTGCATTTCGGGGATTACTTGCAAGCACATTCTGGAATGATGGGCATGTATGTCTGCCTCCACAAATATCTGAATGCTGCCATTTAAAATGCATTCAATTATACACCGCTCACATTTCACGCAGTCCATTATCACTTTATCGTCATTTAGCTTACTTCCAGCACATATGAGCCTTTGCCTATAGCTTGGAATATCCTCTAATTTTTCGATTCTCTCCTTAACTTCCCTTCCTGGTTCATTGAGTCCAACCATTATGTCGATATGTTTTCCATTGAATGTCGGAAATTTGACGATAGCATTACGTAGAGAAAGGGTCGATTCTTTATAGTCACTCAGTGCTTTTCCATTATCAAGGAGTTTTCCATCATATGTGAGTAGTTGTAGATGTGGTGGGATTCCTATTTGATTGTGAATTCTGGTCTTGATGTTATCAACAGTGCCATACACCCCAAAACTGATAGTTCTACCTGTGACAAGCTTTACATACACACACGTCAAGTAGTGCAACAGCAGAGTAGACTCATTTTGTATATTGTAATCAATTAATGTTCTCTCGTTTTCAAGGCGTTGCATACAAAATGTGAGTTGCTGCTGATCTGGTGGTACCCCATCCTTGTCCCAGATCTTATCTTTTACAGTCTGAACGGTATCTCCATAATCTACCTCTAGGGTGGTGATCCTGCCTTCCGGGGTCTTAGCAAATATTTGCATACCTCCCCTTAGCCTAAGAACAAGATGTAGAGTGTAGCCATTCGTAATATTGTATTCAGACAGTTTTGTCTCATCCAGCAGTTGCCTTCCAGCAAATATAAGTCGTTGCTGATCCATGGGTACTCCCTCTTTGTGCCAAATGCCTGCTTTAATGTCCTCAGTGGTACTACTTGCCTCTGTCAAAACGGAGAGGGTCTTACCCGTAAGAGTCTTAACATTAATACTTGAATGAAGTAAAGTATGAAGAGTTGCATCATTGTGAATGGTGTAGTCACTCAGGGTCTTCGTATCATCCAACCTTTCTCCATAGAAAAGATGCTGCTCCTCTGGTGCTACTCCTTCCTTGTCTTGATATTTGGCTTTTACATTCTCAATAGTATCACTGGCTTCCACAATGAGAGTGGTTGTCTTACTTGTTGGAGTCTTCACAAAGATCTGCATACCTCCTCTGAGCCGAAGAATCATTTGAAGAGTGGATCCCTCTTTAATGCCATATTCACCCACAATGTGTCCATCTTCCAGTTCCTTCCCAGCAAAAATGATTCATTGTCGGTCTGGTGGAATTCCTGTCTCTGTTCGTAATTCAGCTCGGACCATTTCAATGGAATCATTCACGTTCAATCCCACGTGCAGGGATCTTCCTGTTAGAGTCTTAACCCACACCATCATACTCCCAGGCTGTAGCGCCGAAAGATATAAGTTTAGAGTCGTTTCTTTTTGAATATTGTAGTCTCCCAACGTTTTCAAATCTTGAAGTCGCTTACCAGCCAAGATAAGTTGCTGCTGGTCTGGAGGTATACCCTCCTTATCGTGAAGTTTATTCTTAACATTGGCAATAGTGTCATTAACACATACTTCAAGAGTGACAGTTTTCCCAGTTAAAGTCTTCACAAATATCTGGAAACCACCTAAGAGGCCTAGACACAGATCAAGAGTACTCCCACTATGAATACCATAGTCCCTCAACTTCTTCCCGTCCCTCAGCAGTCTCCCCCTGCACAAGAGCCTCTGCTGGTCCGGAGGGATCCCCTCCCTCTCATAGATCAGAGACTTTAGCTCCTCCACCGAGTCCTCCCCTCTCACCCACACAGAGAGTGTCTTCCCCGATAGACCCCTCACAAACACCTGGTAGCACGGCCCACTCTTCACCGCTAGCCTGCACTTCCTGGACATGAGTGAGTTGTAGTACCCCATTCTCCTCCTGTCCTCAAGACACACTCCCGATAGAGTAAGTTGTTGCAAGCGACGTGGGGCACCGCCCGCTCCCTCTATCATTTTCTTTACTCTTTTGACACTACAAGAAGCATCTACTTTCATTTTTATCGCACGTTTATCGCTCTTGTAAGTTTTAACTTTTATGTCGTAAACCCTGAGTCGCCGTACGACATAAATTTCAGCTCCACTACAGATTCTGTAGTCGTCTAAGGAACCATTATCGCTGATAAGCTTGCCAGCGTACAGCAGTCGTTGCTGCTCTGGTGAAATCTTTGCTACCCTAGCAATCTTCCCTTTTACCTCATCGACTGATTCATGAGTGGCTACCTCAAGAGAGAAGGCCTGGCCTGTCAGTGTCTTGACAGTGATAGGGACCATAACCATTAGCCCTACCTCTGACCTGTCCTGGATACCATACTGCATAAAGGACACCTGGTTCTCCAGTGGCTGGCCTCTATAAAAGACTTTTTGCTGTTCTACTGAAACCCCTAGTTTACCCTCTAACACTGACTTGAGAATCTGGACTGTACTGTGTCTCTCTACCACTACAGGGACCACTTCACCAGAAGGTGTCCTCACGCATACCCTAATATATTCCTCTGTGCCAAGACGGAGGTGGAGTGTGCTGCTCTGGACTATGCCGTAGTCTTGAAGCCTTCTCCCATCTTCAAGTTCTCTCTCCTCGTGCAATAGGGTCTGGTGGTGCACTGGGAGACCATCTTTCCTTTCGATCTTGTATTTTATACTTTTTATCGTGTCATGACTATCTACACCAATATTCATTGCTTTACCTGCCGGTGTCTGGACAAAGATCTGCATCCTAGCCGGATTGCCGTAGTTCATAACTGGGTGCATGGACACATACTGTTACTAAAGTGCAGAGCGGTGTTGAATTCTCCTTACCTTTCTGACTTTTGAGAGCACTAAGAACAACGACAGCAAGAAGGCGGATCACGGGGTGGTGGTAATCTGGCGTAGCCTGCCTATTTCACGGGGAAGAAATATTTGTTCCGCGGGCGTAAGTCTGGCGTGACGTTAGCATCAACGACCCGTGACCCTCTGCAACTACAATCAGATTGCAGAACGGCGTGGAATGTGTGCGGTTACGTCATAGTTTAGTTGTTGAGCGACGCTAATACGGCAAATGCTTGAGAGAGTTCCTTGTCGACTGCACTGGTGCAAGCCGTCGTCAAAGACATGGGTTAGTAGTGTACCGCTGGTAACGGGAGCTAAGAGCGTTCCCCGGACCCCACCTACTAGGAAAAATGAAATGCACTAAAGTGCAAACCCTCGGCGAACTGCGCATGCGCGATACTGCTAATTGATGGACTGGGCCGGCTATTTGCGTTTACTCGTGGTCTTCCGCTAGTAGCCCGCGGAGAGTCAGACACGGGCTAGCTACAGTAGTAGATAGCATGACATGCCATTGGTTGTGACTTCCTGAGGGTACACACAGAGCGAGCGGATCAGGTCGCGGTAAGCCCAGTGTGATTATGCATATCGCCTTTTTCGCTTGTTTTCACGGCATATCTCTTGAACGAAGTCGTTTCAGGAAAATCGCCTAATTAGTTTTCAGGCTCCCGTAGTTCTGAATCCGCTGGTATCGCTAACGGGCCGCTTCGTAGCCTGTAGTGCCAGAATAAGCGTCGACACAGACACACACAGACAGACAGAACGACTACCGTAACCCTCGCTGCGCATGCGCGCCGAGGGTTAATTAGGGTGTTGTGTAACCACCGCATTCCAGGGTACGGGTCGTTGATGCTAACGTCACCTGACTATTTCTTCCCCGTGAAATAGGCAGGCTACGCCCGACAAGGGCGGTGGCTGGAGAGCTTACACGCATGGTATGGAACGCCAAATGCGACAAAAATAGTGAAAACGTATTGAAATTGTAAACGCTATCGATCGTCGTTGTGTAGCGTGCCAGAATGGCTCAAGAGCGCCCGCCGCCAGGGAAATGCGCGCGCCGCCGTGTCACGTCATGCATGCGCTGCATCATCGACTGGATGGCGCGCGGCGTTGGGGGACGTGGCGACTTCCGAGCTCAACCTAAGAGCTTAGAGTAAGCCACCGATAATCGGACGCCATGTATTCTCGGACGCATTTGTGAAGTCTGTGCAGGACTAGATTTGCGTTTTACGCGAAAAGCAGTTTTCGGCTTGTTTCTTCTAACTCACCCGCCGGATGAAGCTATAAAATTTTCTCCCCGTGCTTCTTGCCTTATATTAGATGCCTGCACCACGATTTCCGTTTTTGTAAGATTAATAATTTTTTGTAATTACCAATAAAAAGTTAGATCTCACAAGCATGTGCAAGCATGTAGTATAAGGCAAGAAGAACGAGAATAAAAAATTTAGAGCTTCATACGGCACGTGCGTTAGAAGAAACAAGCCGCGAACTGCTTTTCGCGTAGAACGCGGCTTACGCGACCCCGCCTATTTGCGCTTTCGTTAGCAAAAAGAGCGAAGACAAAAAGGGCCATTTCTTGGTCGCTGCATAGCCAAAAGGTACAGCTATCAATCGAGCATTCACTCGCTTGGATCATTCATACTGTTCCCGTTTTGGGAGACTGTCCTACCATTGATGCGCTTGTCCGATCTTTGCTGTGCCCGAATCGTAACTTTACGGCAACGTCATTCCCACGGTAAAGCTCGGATAAGAGTGAATATTTTTATACAACAGTTTATGACCAAGAACTACATATTGGTAAACACAGTAGCCAATCTAGTCTTGCACAGACTTCACAAATGCGTCCGAGAATATATGGCGTCCGATTATCGGTGGCTTATATACTCTACCTACCAACCTGCAGTTTGCTTGAGAGATTTGGATGCTGTGGGTCTAATCAAAATGTATGGGCATGATCCGTCACAGGTTAGCACAACAAACAGGAATTTGGGGATTTTATTGTAGGATAGGCGGTATTTTTGCTTGATTATCAAGGAAAAATCTGGATGGTTGGTAGGTATGTAAGAGCATGCGAATGCAGGGCATTTTTGGTGAGCGAGAGCACTCCACGAGCCATCCTAGCTTATTAAAAGGTTAGTAATATCTCTCCATTTAGCATCAGCAATAGCACCTCTATCAAGCAACTCTGGCACGCTATTACTACACTAATTTGGTGCACTTAGTCTACGGAGCCATTCTGGCACGCTAATGTACTGTAGTCTATGAGCCATTCTGGCACGCTAGTGTACTGTTGTCTACGGAGCCATTCTAAGATAATTATTAATAATTTTCAAGTGATGTAGCTACGCAATCATTATTATAATGTTAACAAAGTCTACTTGTGGGTGTAGCATTGTTGGAGCCCCTCAGAAAGTGTAATCATCATTGGGGCTCCTCCCTCCTGTGGTCCCTAGAGACGAGAATGGCTCTGTAGATTGCCGTACATTAGCGTTCCAGAATGGCTCCGTAGATTACAGTACACTAGCGTGCCAGAATGGCTCATAGACTACAGTACATTAGCGTGCCAGAATGGCTCCGTAGACTAAATGGTAGCGTGCCAGAATGACTCAGTAATAGTATTGCACTACATTGGTGTGTCCGCGGTACACTGCATTCAAAATTTATAGATACACTGCATGTGCCTGAATAGTTCCAAAAGAGAGGCAAAATTACTGCTGTATGATTGAGCGCTGTATTCTACGCGCTACGCTAATTGCGTGACGTAAATATTGCGGCTGGTTCGGCCGGATTCTGGCACGCTACACATGCCGAAATTGTTGGTCGTCTGTCGTTTGGTCGTGTGTCGTTTAGCAGGTGGGTAACTTTAACGCGTGCGTATGTCCGGATTTGCACCAGGCATGGCACACGTGTGTGGCCGCGCCATCCGCTTTTTGCAGCCCGATTTCATTCAAGCGGTCTCTGGCCCTCCCAGCTGACATGAAGTTAGCCCAATGTCTTCTCTCTCTTCGCTTGCACCGCTTGAAGGAAATCGGGTAGCCATGCCATCAAAGTATACGGCGCGGCCACACACGTGTGCCTGGTAATCCGGACGAACTTGATCTGTCCTACGCATACGCTTTGTATTATACGCACGCGGTAACGTGCACACGGCTACCGACCTGCTAAACGACACACGATCAAACGACAGTATACTACCAACCTGCAGATGAACCTTTGCTTGAGAAATGTGTCAAATTTGCTTGATTTGGAGAATGCTGTGTGTCCAGTCAAAATGTATAGGCATGATGCATCGCAGGTTAGCACAAAAAAGAGGGATTTGGCGATTTTTTGGAGGGATAGGCAGTATTTTTGCTTGATTATCAAGCAAAAAGCGGGATGGTTGGTAGGTATGCGACAGACGACCAACATGACAACAATCGATTACATCTGGGCGCGGTTCTATTCCATACGCATGCGCATGCACACGTTTTACATACCCAGGCCAAGCCGAGATGGCCGCCGAAAGTCTCCTTGGTGAGTATCCTGAACTGAGGCCATTCGTGCTCTCCAACGTAAGAGAGACCGGAATCAAAATCGGGGCCGGAGCCTACGGCAGCGTTGAAGAGGTGGACGTTCTCGGAGCAATCTGCGCTGCAAAAAAGATCCACGACATCTTCCAAGACCCGCGCCAAGTCCCGTCCGCTGCTATCCGCCAAGCCACCACTCAGTTCGCGAGGGAATGTCAGCTAATGAGCACCCTCCGCCACCCGAACATCGTTCAGTTTCTGGGATTGTGTTTTCTGCCCGGCTCGCAGTTGCCAGCGCTCGTTATGGAGCGACTGCTGACGAGCGTTCATGATTTGCTGGATCCCGAAACTGCGGACACGCCGCCCCAAGCCGACGCGCCCAAACCCTTCTTCCCGCTGGGCCTCAAGTGCTCGATTCTGCACAACGTTGCGTGCGGCCTAGCCTACCTCCACGAGCGATCGCCGCCCGTCATCCACCGCGACCTGTCGGCACGAAACGTTCTCCTTACCTCGGGGATGGTAGCCAAGATAGCGGACCTGGGCGTGGCTCGTATCATACCTCGTATGAGGGCTGCAGCCACCATGACAAGGGGACCTGGGGCCATAATTTACATGCCTCCAGAGGCCATGGAAGAAAAGCCTGATGATGAAGATGTATCGAAAGCAAAGTACGATGCGAGCATTGACATGTTCTCTTTTGGCATTGTTTCAATTTTTACGCTCTGCCAAATCTTCCCCGACAAATTGCTTGCTCCCAATTATCGCAAAGATGGTCGCTTGATTGGTCGAACTGAGCTTGAGCGACGAGAGAGGTACATGAAGATGATCTACAGTCAGCTACGTGAGAAGCATCCTCTCCTCCAGATGATCGAGGGATGTCTAGACTTCCCTGAAGAATGTCTAAGCATTCATGAGGTCCTGCATCTGTTAGAGGAGGCCAGAGCTGAGGTGAGACATGAGCAGAAAGACATGAGTAAACTGGATCTGTTACAAGCTCTTCATCAGACCCAGCCAAGGGATCAGGTGCAGGAGTGTCTATAATGTGCAAATGCTGTGGCCTCTCCAACTGTAGTTTGATTTTTTGTGCAGAGTTGTGAGGGAAATCTGGAGTCTCTTGTGCAGGAGCTGCAGAAACAACTGCAGTCCAGGGACCAGGTAGCTAATGGCACTATTATTGTCACACAGTCGTGCTTTATAGTATGTCAAATCATTATAGGAGAATGCAGATCTCCAATCTAGAGTTGAGCAGCTACAACTGCAGATACAGTCAAGGAACCATGTATGTATAATTACACTTTGGTGAGAGCAGAAGAGCGTATCCAGGAAGTGTTTTTACCAAAACTAATACTTGCACTAGCTTTACCTCCAGTTGCTATGTTCAGTGTCTAATTGTAGGAAGTTATGTTTGGTTATTGGTGCATTCTTTAACACAGCCTGTGCAGTCATGAGTGCAACCACAGGCACTCCTGTGCCTTTGTGGTGAACTCCAGGAACTATCCATGTATGTGAGTGTATGGGTGTGTATGTGTGTCATTCACTCAGGTTGGCGTTATTGCTTAGGTCACGTTATAGTATTGTGTGTACTGTATTGCTGTTACGTTAAGTTGTGTAATCATGTAGCTCGTGTTTTTGTGTTCTGTAAAACCAGTCTGGTGACAGTCCAGTCATGATTATTGTGTGTTTGTGTGTGTGTGCATGGGTGGAGCTGGTGACTGGCCGTTTGTTTCTCTCTTTCGCTCTACTAATGTATACGCTACTGTAATGTGGTAAATGAGTAAAAATCAGCATTGGCCTGCGTGTGTTGAGGCGGCTGCATGACAGGCTTGCTGTAGCTAATAATCTCAGTTGGCAGCCAAAGCACTACCACGTACCCAGAACAACGGGCGGAACCTTTAACAAGCGAACACACACTGACACTGCTCACCTCTCAGACACCTCAACTCACGGCTGCTGTAGCAGCAATGAACTCTCTACTAGAAGAAAAGCAAACACAATGGAGCCTACAATACAGTGGGCTCTTCATTCTCGATTTATTCTATCCAGAGTTTTGAGCAAGAACTGCAGTCTGTACAGGCCAAAGATGGGGAGCTAGCTGAGACTAAGGAGAGAGAAGGTGTGTATATACTGTGATTACAAAGTGATGTCATGACCTTGTGTATAACAGTGTGATTTTCATTAAATAATCATCACTTTCATGTCATTTTGCATAGAAATAATTAGCAGGTTTATGTTGAAAATTCGAGCAACTGGATGAGAAATTTATCAACCTTTATAGGCACTTTTTGCTATACCAACATACGGTTCACAAACTTGTCCCCCTAAAATCTCAGGGTTCACAAATTTGTCACCCCTGTAGTATTGATAGTATTACACAGTCACACAAATTAATTTTGTGAACCCTGACTTCCACAGTTTACAATCTAAAATCTGCATTTGCTGAAATGTAGCTACCTTGTTTTGGGGAAAATCTGTAACGGAACACTTTTTTTATGTTTCTGACTTTAGGAGGAACAACTGGCAAGACAGGAAGCAGAGCTGACAAAGAAAGAGAAAGCTATCAAAAGAGAACAGCACCAACTGAGACTGAATGTAAATAGCAAAGAAATTGAGGTACCACTACTGTATGTCTTCCTGACTGCAGGAAGAGGAGCTACAGAAGGAGAACCAGACAGTCAGAGAACAACCGATGAGAAAGGAAACAGAGTTGGCCGAGACCCAGCAGCAACTGAGACAGAAGGTTAATAGTGACAACTGCACCGTGTGTTGTGTTTTAGAGGTATAATACTTCTGTAGGAGCAGCTGCTATCTAGTGGGTCTTTACCAGCCGAAACTTTGGAGGCACAAGTCCCAGATACACGAGGGACAAAGGTCAGTCATGAATCATTAACCCTGCACTTTCTACTTTGCTGCTCTGATCTCAACAACTTGGCATGCATAGCCAGCACCACTAGCAAGAATTAGAGTAGTTCGGCCATTAGCTAATGGCCCGTTTGGAATACTCCAATCCGATTGTAAACTAATAGAAAGCTAGTCCACGTAGTTCCCCTGTAGGATGAGGAGGAACACTAAGTAGAATGAGGAATATTCTTGAGGAACACTACTGGATAGTATTCACCATCCAGGGCCTTCAGAACATTTTTGTTACATTTTCGCGTGCGCCGCACCCTACATTAGTTCACTAACTGTGGTATTGGTGTACCACTAGTTCCACTAACTGTGGTGTATGATGCCGTTCTCCAGTAGATGCTGTCCCAGTATCACTGCCTCGTGTAAGAAGTTAAGACGACAAGTCATGGAAACCACGTGATTAGAAAGCCTTGGGCCCTGTATATATACAAGTGGAAAAATCATTTCTTCAAAATGAAAGGGGGATATAGGGATGGCTTGAAGCACCAAAAAGGAAGAAACAAGGGGTCATTACACAGCAAAGATGCACAAAGCTACATGACACCATCCCTATATCTTTGTCTCATATTAAACTTTACTTCAAGGTAAACTGTTGCAGAATGGAAATGACGGAGACGGCAAGCGCGGCTCTTTCCCAATTAGGGAGGAAAATGTCAGCAGGGCGAGATTGGTTGTGAACAATAACACAAAGATATAGGGATGGTGTCATGTAGCTTTGTGCATCTTTGCTGTGTAATGACCCCTTGTTTCTTCCTTTTTGGTGCTTCAAGCCATCCCTATATCCCCCTTTCATTTTGAAGAAATGATTTTTCCACTTGTTCCACTATTTTTCATGCCTTATGACAACACTGCATTTTCAGTCACTCTGATGTTCATGGGTGTTGTAGAGATAACTGTTGAAAGCAGAAGCTAATGGGCTGCTCATACCTGAAGCAGGGTGTATGTGTAGTGTCTCCAACAAGGATGCAATTAGATTGTGGCACATATGGTGGGGTGGTTTCATAGGCAGGCTTCAGTAATCAGACTACAATGATAGCTATAACCTGGGGGACAAAGAATGAAGGCGCTGTGCAAGGCCCGCGTAACACGGCGCACACTGCCAAGTTGCTCCTCGTGCAAATCAACAGCAAAACGCAAGTTAGCCACTTACAAAGTGTACACTGACTTACAGAAGGCACTGGAAGATCGTGGATCAGGCAAAATGCGCGCGCACCGCATTGGAAACGCCCTCCTCGGCGCATGCGGCTCACTGATGCTGAGTTAGCAGCAAATGGCGTTGTTCAGTGACTACCGTGGAAGAGCTCAACGATCTACCTTAGTGACTTGCGGCAAGAAACAAGCGATCGCTTGATATGCGTGCACACCTCCGGAAAATTTGGAGACGTTCTGTGAAAAAATCAACGCTTCAACTGCTTCCGGTAAGGAGCTAGCGGGTCTGAAGAAGAAGAAGAAGAAGAAGAAGAAGAAGAATATGATGATTATGATGACACGAAAATCGCGAAATCGCGTAAGAGCGAATTCTCTGGTGGGGAACTGAGGGCACGTAGGAAGTCTTTGGGCATATGTATAGCTAGGTATTGGCCTCTAGACTATTGCTAGTGATTTTGAAGCCATGGTGAGTCATTCTCGCTGAGTTTTGAGGCGTTTTGTACGCGGATCACGTGAGATTTCACTCGTGTCATCCCTATATAGAGCGTCTACCGACGCTCTGATAGTAGCATCTTCGCTGCGCTCGGAATGCCACAGCCCCAAGGTCTCGTCTACCTAAATCTGCGTAGTTACTTGTTGTCTAACTATTACTTAGCTAAGGTAGTAGAGTTGTTGGACCTTGTTGAGTTGGCATTGGAGACAGAGCTACTATGGCAATAGATGCCCCCACCCTTCACCTTGGGCAATCTCTTCCTGTTTCATGATGAATGAGCATGGTAGGACGTGAGGTAACTGTGCTTCCTTCGTAGGTGGTGAAGCATGACTTCTCCAATGTAGCTTCACCCTTTAGGAAATTGTGGTTTGCACATGTAGCATGTGGTCGTGCGTTCTCATTGCTCTAGTATGTAAGTATGTATCCCTAAGTGAATGCAGTGGGGCGACCAAAACGTACCCTCTGAATAAGGAGATCTCTCCATGAATAAAGGAGATCTTATTCCCTCCCTCCCAGACCAAGAACTGGGTGACTCTAGATCATCCCCACACATTCATTCGCATGATCAAGTCACTCACTGAGCAGCCAGGAGGCATTATCTGACCAAATTTAGCATTGAATAGTGGGCTGTTTCTCGTGCATATCTGAGGCAATCGTTTGCTATAGTGGTGGTCTAGTAATCTATGATTTGTCTCAAAAGTTAAAGTGTGCCTTTCAGATGTTTCAGCTGAAATGATGTGCAAAGCTCCACCCTTGTTGTGCATGCAGAGTGTTGTGTGTTCGAATCCCACCTAGGGCTGCTCTGATTTTTTCCCTTGGAAAAAGAATCGTCTGGGTTTAGTTGACTTGTTTGTTTGCTTTTCCTGTGCCTTTCTACCTCTAGTTCACCCAGGCCCTATGGTTACTCTGTTAGTTTAGGTAATCAGTATATTACTGTAATCACAATACATTAGCATTGTACCACACATAATATAAAGGTTTTCCTGTAGCATTGTGTTGTAGATTCGAACCCCTCTGAGCTACCTGGGCAACTCAGCTGGTAGCTCAGTTGGTAGAGCGCTTGCCTAGACTGCAGAATGTCGTGAGTTTGAATCCCACCTAGTTGTCCTGGGTGTAGCTGATTGCCTTTGCCTCTCTACATACCTTGTAGTTGACACATGCATTACACTCAGTTTAGAGTTGGGCTTCTTTCATTACCCCAGAACGACTAGGTGGGATTCAAACTCACGGCACTCTGCAGCCTAGGCAAGCGCTCTACCAACTGAGCTACCAGCTGAGTTGCCCAGGTAGCTCAGAGGGGTTCAATCTACAACACAATGCAAAGCAGCAAACCTTGCTTGTGTACAATGTCTTACGATAACAGTACTGATTACCTAAACTAACAGAGTAACCATGGGAAAGCTAATGTTAGCTTCTCATGTGCATGCGTGAGAGTATACAGTGCCATATATAGTGCAGTGGTTTGAGGTTTGCCTTTTGTTGTATGATTTGAACCCTTTATCAGCTGAGTTGTCCTGGTAGTTCAATTCGTAGGGGGTTCAGCGAGTATCGTGGGTTCGAAGCCTATCTAGGGCAGCACTTCTTTTTTGTCCGAGGTGGAAGGGGAAGGGGGGGTTGTGTTGTAATTGACGTGTTTGCTTTGTCTATCTTCTAGTTGATGCATGCACATGAGAAGCTAACATTAGCTTTGCTATGGTTACTCTATTAGTTTAGGTAATCAGTACTGTATTCATAAGACATGCCACACATAAACAAGGTTTGCTGCCTTTGCATTGCTGTAGATTCGAACCCCCTCTGAGCTACCTGGGCAACTCAGCTGGTAGCTCAGTTGCTATAGTGCTTGCCTAGGCTGCAGAGTGTCCTGAGGTTGAATCCCACGTAGTCGTCCTGGGTGTAGTTGACTTGTTTGCTTTGCCTTTGCCTCTCTATATACCTCGTAGTTGACACATGCATTATACTCAGTTTAGAGTTGGACGTCTTTCATTACCCCTGTGTGTTCCTACATACTGAGTGAGAGTATATAGTGCCATAGTGCAGTGGTTCAAGGTTTGCCTTTTGTTGTATGATTACCAGCTCAGTTGTCTTGGTAGTTCAGTTCGTAGAGTGTTCGGCGAGTATAGGTGGGTTCAAATCCGTCACACATAAAATATCTTGCGAATTTAAAAAGAAGAATAGGGACGGTAAAAACAGACAAGAAAAGGATGGGATATATGAAGCATGGTTAATGAACAGATTTGACACCCCCGACCCCATTACACAATCCCAATATTGTTGCCTGGTGTGACACTCTTAACCATCCTTATTATACCACTTTTTTAACTCGCAGGATATTTTTTTACTTGTCTCCACTCATTTCTATACACGACTACGTATATAGAGGCATATAGGGATAGTATAAAAAGAAGGGAGACAAGATAGGGATGGGATACATGAAGCATGGTTAATGAACATTTGAGCCCGCTGACACCCCCGACCCCATCACACAATCCCTATATTGTTGCCTGGTGTGGCACTGTTAAAGGTATTGTGGCAGTATTATGGGCTAAAATTAGGAATGTTACTCTCAGTTACTTTCTTTTACTGTAGCTTTGTTCTTATCTTTAGTAACATTTCCAAATTTAGCCCTTTTCATACTGCCATATTTCCTTTAATTAACCCTCGCTGCGCGCATGCGCAGCGGAGGGTTATTGCAGTCGCGTCGGTCTGTGTGTGTGTGTGTGTGTGTGTGTGTGTCCGTGTGTCCGTCCGTCCGTCCGTCTGTCCACCGTTTTTCTCGGTAACCGCGGCAACTCTGGGCGTGAAACGTGGACATATTATCAAGTAGGAGGAATGCACGGTAAAATAAGATTCTGGAGCGGAGAAGGCCGGGGAAGCGGGCGAAACGGAGAGCTGCCGAGGTGAGTGTGCGTCAGTCAAATAGAGATAAAGACAGTTGAGTAGGAGCGAAATTGCCAGTGAAGTGAGAGCCAGGAAGCGAATCTGTTCAGTGAAGGAGTCACTGAGATAGTGTAGCCAGGTAGCTAGTAGCCATTGGCTGCTGAAATAAAGAATAAAGTGGTGACTGAGGGTTATGTATAATATACTGTCAAGTGCTTTTCACTTTGCTGTAGTAGTAACTAGTATTGAAAACGCATGTGCAAAAGACTGAAGTAGTGTAGCTAGTAGCCATTGGCTGCTGAAATAAAGAATAAAGTGGCGAGGGTTATGCACTTTCAAGTGCTTTTCATTATTCTAGTGTTGGCTACTCAGTATTAAAGCTATAAGTCATGATTATTGTAATGTTGAATATTTAATACTTCACCTAGGCAACAATGCCTATTTTTCTTTAAATGCGCAGGATTTTTAATTTACTTGTCTGCACTCATTTTTATATACTACTCTATGCTTCTGTAAAGGAGGCAGGCCCTGATAAAAATAATAATAGAGAAAGATGGTCTGTTGTTGTTGTGGTCGTCATGGAAATGATGTAATATGCATGCGCACCAAGTCTCATCTCCATGTGTGTTACAGTTAGCAAGTTTGAGGAGTGAAGAAGAAATTTAAAGAGAAGTGCGTTAGGCTCTTTCATATTTGGCTGTCATAGAAATGATGTAATACTTATGCGTACGAAGTTTAATCTTGATGTGTGCTACCGTCAGCGGGTTTGAGGAGTGAAGAAGTAATTTCAAGACTATTGCCTGAGGCTATTTGTTGTTGTTTACAAACATGTAGGTAAAAATGTAGTTGTCATGGAAATGATGTTACATGCATGTGTACCAATTTTTATGTCAATGCGTGGTACCATTGCTAAGTTAGAGGAATGAAGAAGTAACTTTAAATAATTGCCTGAGGTGATTTGTTGTTGTTTACAAACATGTATTGTTGTGTTTTCGACACTGAATATATTGTGTATACAAACTTTCATTCACAAGAATTATTGTTGACGATAAAACTTCATGTTTCTGTGAAAAGTTTACATGAAAAACAAGGTTTACTACGGAGCGTCCCAGGTATACTACAGGAGATCAATTACCTCGTGTGGACCAATCAGAATGCTCGATTCAAATCAGCTATGCACTAAGTACTACCGTACATGTGGTCGTCATGGAAATGATTTAATATGCATGCGTACCATGTTTCATCTCCATGGGTGCTATATACCGTTGCCAAGTTTGAGGAGTGAAGAAGTATTTTAAAGAGAAGTGCCTTAGGCTATTTGTTGCTGTTCAAACTATGTGGTTGTCGTGTAAACAATGTAATATGCATGCGTACCAGTGTTTCTGACTACTTGTAGTGGCAACACACAGAGTCTTTGTGCCACAACGTGAGTATATAGCCAGGGACTTTCACCAGGCCCTCAGAGCTACTTTGCGGCCACATCCTTACCAACCTTGTCTTCACGAGGCTCCAGCGCTTGACTGTATCAAGGCCGTGGTGATGCTATAGGCTCTAGGGAACCAAAGGGCATGTATAGCAGAAAATATGGTGTTGTCTCTGAAAGATGGCATCGTCACAGTGTAAATCCTCAGCCACAAGGAGCTCACCCAATGCTTTATCCCAAGCTTGTACGAGGCACGTCATGCAACTCTCATACATTAACCTAACCTAGTCGTGAGGTTCAGTTGAAGGCACACCCCAGTCATGATCCAGCCACAAGTCAACAACCTCCCTCCATCAAGAGAGAGTAAAAGAGTGATGATGAGTCTACAATCAGCCATTCCCAACATAAACCCACAGCTTCTCCCCCCAACCCTCTCAGATATCTCGATTGGTGATCCAGTTAACCAACAATAATTGTTCCCCTCAGCTGCCTCATGACCATGTATGACTGGAAATGAAGCAGAGCAGATGACGAATCTCCACATTGCCTAGCTCAGTGTCTCTCTATATATACAAGCTGCAGACACCTGCACAGATCAGTTTACACTGGCCACAGCTTTCACGTCCACATCCGGCCAGGGCAAGGCCTAGACCAAAACGATATCTCAACAATCTTCACTGCCATCAAACACCATCTGAATCTCACCGGTGTCGAGGTAACTCCTGCCTTCTTCTGTCCTTGTGAGAGAAAGCCTCTTGGTCACCCATCATCCCCCTTCCTCTTTGACCGAAAGTGGCTCCTCAGTTTCTCCCTCACCCAATAGAGTGTTGGACCAGCCAGTGACCATCACCTACTGTGGCTCGATGTTCAGCCACTGAGACTGATAAACCTTTTCTCCCAAAGCTACTTGAACTCAATGTTGTGGAGGTTGTTGGTACGAACGAGTTATCACTAGTGATATTCTTACTCAATGACGAAACTGGCTGTCTGTGCTATTGAACACGACTGCTATGGACAAACTCACCGTATCTCTCGGAGAATTCAGTAGTATAATAATATGGTGGTTGGCAGGGGAAAGGGGGAGCCACCAACCTGGAAGATGCTCTGCCCAACTCTTCGTGATTGAAAATTAAACTGGCTTGGCCAACAAGGTAGAGCAACAATACCCATCGCAGTAACCACCTCCATAAAACTCTGCACCTTTCACCTTTCTAGTATAGCTATGTATATTCACTGTTTTGTACATGATGCGTATCAAAATGATTTTAGCTTTAATCAGAAGGTGCATTCTCAACGCATAGAAGAAAAGAAAAGATACAACTTTGTAATTTTTTGGTGTGTGGAGGAGCATTTAAAAATCAATGCAGGTGCATTAGAATGACATCGGTGCAAAATTCGACCAGGGAAACGATTTTAGTTGGCCAACTCCACTCGCCAATAAATAGGTTCAATACTGCGCGTCAATAGAAAAATACGCGACTTAGACTGCCCGAGGGGCCCTGAGCTGTATATACTGTCTGAGCGCAATCGAAAAGCTATTTAGACGGGGGACGTGCTGGCCGTCAAATCGTCCGAGTCCGCCGTCTTCCGTGAGACTCGCTCTCGCCTTGGGAAGCTAAAAAGGTCTTCATTTTAGTTTCTTTTTGCATCGTAGACACACCTTTCATTCGACTACAGCGAGCTTGAAGTTGTTGCGGCGAGCTCTCAGCGACAGAGCGAGTGTCTGCCCGGAAGCTTGCCACACCCCCATCGAAGACGCCATTTTTGGCGAGCGTCTCCGTGGAAACACGCACTTGGAAAATAGTTTTTACGCAATCTGATTGGTCAATTTGAATCTACCGACGTGATGCTTATGTAGCGCGTTGGCAGTATCTGAGAATGAGAACAAAATGTATGCATGGCAACAATTTTGCGCATTATACGTCTTGATATAATTATGTAGGTGCATGCTAAATACCGTCACCGGCTATAGCCCTCCAAGGATCGAGCAATCCCTATTATCCTCAACCACTCTGCCTTGTGAAGACCTATTATAAATGAAATTCAAACGGATTGCAGACAGGAGTGGCTGCACTACGACCTGCAACATACTAATGTAGTACCCGAGCACTTTATCATTTCAAGGCTCAAATGCTACACATATTTACAAGTATAAAAATATTATTATTATCAAAATAGCATGGACTTCACTGGCGACTTCACTGGCCACCAGCTTGTAGACCTAGTGATAGACAAACAGAGCAAGGATATAAAAGAATCTACACTATCACTCTGTATAAATTACCTGGAGATTGAGGAGGAAGATATTTCTCTTTCAGTTTTTGGATCAGTACATCTTTCCCCTTTACACGATCGAGGGCATTTATCACTTTCTCCCATGAAGCATTGGGATCTTTTTCCAGCCAAATGTTCAATGCTCGGTGCATACGGTCAGTGGCCTGGTTAGTCTGCTCCTCTATCTTCAATAGTTCATTGTAGTCAATCTCCAGTTGTACTGCCAGAGACTTGATTTCACTCCACGTCAGATCCCCCAACTCATTAGACAAGTCAGCCATAAACTTTGGCTTGACATTAAAAGGTACTGTGGTATCCACAGATGTGGTCCCTTGTAAAAGAGTAGAATAGTGTGAACATACTGTATCACAAACAGTGTATGCGAATCTTACTAGAGGGAGTACTTGAAGGCAGAACAGGCTCTAAACGGAAAAGGTGAAGATCATTTAGACCATCACTAAGGGTAAACTGCCACTCACTAGTTAGACATGTTGTTGGGGAGGTCACAGTTAAGAAATTGCACTGCTTTTTAGCTCCCTTGATTAATACTCTCTGAGCCAGATGCTTTGGAGCTTCCTCATTCTCGCACCAGACTTTCACTTGACATGTACACAGCTCCTTGCGAGCACTAAACCTATCAACACCCCGCTTGAAAACCTGTAAGTCATCTGCAAAATAATGTACGATTCTAAGGCATAATACAATAGCACCTCGAGTGGGGTTAGTTCCATCATATTCCATCCATTTCCGCAGCTTTCTTGAATTTCAAGGCTGACTTCATCTTCTTGGAACTTGAAATTAGAAATAGGCCCTCGCTCATAATTCCCTTTACTCTCTTTGAAATCTGATCTTCAACCCTCTTATAGAGAAAAAGGGCAGTAAAAATCATATCTCAATTAAACTTACCTTAGCCAGTGCACTGAGATTTTGAATAATGAAGAACTCAAAATTAAAATGGCAATAGAGCATCTTTGTATAGTAAATGTTAGCAGAATATTCAATTTCATTAGAGGAATGGGGAGCAAGGAGCGAAAATGCTTCTTCATAAAAGTAGTAAAACGGGAGAAGGAATGCAACTTTATCACTGCATAGCCTTTCACTGAGCTGAAATCACCCCCTGGAACATAATTGAAACTGTTGGAGTTCGTATTTGCTCGAACAACGCTCAAGTTACTAAGAGCACTTGCTGCAGCACAGTGCTCCATTTCCAGAGTGACCGGCTGAAGAAGATCCTCTATTGGGTCGTGGCTGAAGGAATAGACTGCACTAACAAGGACACCGTTCTCGGGTAACTGGAACTCTCCTGATAGTGCAACATTTACACTCAGCTTGAACTGACTAAAACCTTCTGGTAGTGAGTCGGGTGGTATGTACAGTCTCAGACCATATCCCTCCCAGATAACATGCTGCTCCTCACTTGTTACTATCACTGTCTTCTCTGATATCACATCAAAGGCTGTTGAACATTATTAACGACAATCACATGCCACACGAGCACTTACTTGGTTGAATATCTTCCACCACCCTCTTTCCTTCATTTGTCACCTCCACTTCTACTTCCACTGTCTCCCCTAGACACATAGGCAATTGCCAATCTATTGTACATGTTACATCGGCACTAACTTGGTTGGCTTTCTGTCGTAGAGACATGGGTGGAAGAGTCGTCCTATAATAAAGTGGTGAGAGAAGGTATATAGATGTATGGTTAGAGAAGAAGTGTAACACCTAGACCCTCATCAATTGATCAAACTATGTCTTGCAGCGCATACCATACATAGTGTGTAAATAGCTACACAACGCATGACTGTGTGTGTAGTGGAAGACGCTTGATGTAGTGGCTGCATGCTGAGTGAGTCAGTTATTTAGCCTACTGGATAAAGCTCACTTTCTAAATAATAGTCTGTGAAAGAAGGCAGACACATAGAAAATTAGATTTTACTGCATGAAACATACCATCTGAAATGTAAATAGTTGGTGACACATTAAAAGGCAGTATGGGTAGAAGGGAAGACAACAATTTAAGAACAAGGTATGTTTAAAATAATAGATAAAACTTACCCTCTGAAATGTAATGGTGATGTA